TGATAACGGTTATCTTTCTTTTTCGTTATCAGTTTTCAAATTTATCAAACATTTATGATAATATATTTTCGAAAAATATTATTCTTATTACTCTGTTTTTCGACTTTCCGACATTTCCCCATCCCCGTCACTCCGCTATTCGAGTTGGTGTGTTTGTTATTAATGCCGCGGATGTTGCGGTTTGTACGCGAAAACTATCCGTAGCCTTCGCAATCACAAACGACTACGGCCGTCGTTCGTTATTATTATCGTTTTTGTCGCCTTTTTCTATTCGTTTCTTCTTTTCAACCGCCGTTTGTGCTCTATTCGTTTTAGTTTATTTCTTTTGAAACCCGAGGATATGCGGTTTGTACACAAAGTTTCGGTCGGTCTTCGTTTCGACGCACAACTTGGATTTAATAAATAATACTGATTTTTTTGTGTTTGTTTTTGATTCAATACAATTTGCATTATATTATTGTACACATATTATTTTGTCCCGTATTCATGATAATATATTTAAGCATTGGTCAACTATATGTCTATATGTAATGTGTAATATACAATATAGGTACAGAAGTACAGAACTGTTCATCGGTGGTGTTATGAATGTCAGTATGTACTGCTAAACATATGTATTATATATAGTATTAATAGGTTATCGACATAGTAGTATGTATATTTATTATTTAACTAAGCACACATATTGTGTAAGTTAGTTGCTATGAGTATAGCCTATATTGGTGGCTAAATATTTAGTTAAACACACAACCGTGTCGGTCTAATTTACTGAAATGCAGAATTACTGATTAACTGAATGTGAGCCATAGCGATCCATCAAATATTCAAATGTACATATTTAGATGGTCATGTATCAATGTTCAATTCACCACTATATCTTAGACAAATAAAGAGCACAGTACTCACTACTCAAGTGCTTGAAATGTCTATATTATAATAATGCATAATTATGGCAATATTTTGTCAAGTGTCATTTCTATAAGAAATAACATAATGTTTAAAAATGATTAATATAAAATATGTTTTAAATTATAAATGATAATTAATATTATGGTTTTAGTTATTATAAAATGTTTAAGAGGACGTCCATACCCGCATATTATGTTGTCTCCCTCTTTTAAATGTATAATATACCAAAACATACTTCTAGCAGTTATCCGTTTGCTTAAATATTAGAATGGATTGACTATTGACATATTATCAAACTTAAATTTAAGAACATTACCAATGTGTGTTCATAGGCGCAATTTGGGTTAAATTTATGTTGGTGCTAGATTTATATCTACTAAAGTGGTAAATGGGGGCTTTGCCCCCAACACCCCCCTCCGCACTTATGTACAACTTAATTTTATACACCTAAGCATTAATCTTAATACAAACAATTACCTATAACATAATTCACTTTTACCTATATTATTATTCTGATACCTATGTATCAAAATTATTATGAAAATGATAAAATCTTAGAAATAAATGTATCCAAGTCCATATGGCATAATTTTATAGTCAATAAAAATTTGGGGGTGCTATTATGAATTTTGGGAGTGCTAAGCACCCGCCAAATTGCGCCCATTGGTGTGTTTCCGGTTGGTTAGTTACAATATCTTAATTTTTAAATGAGTTATGAGATTGTAAAATATTAATATTTGAAATTGCTCATAATTCACTTAAAAATTATAATATCGTAAGAACCAATAGAGGATACAGATAATGTTCTCACATTTAAGTTTGATAATAGGTTAATTCACTCTAATATTTAAGCTATCAATACCAAATTGGAATGGCTGGACTTACATTTTGGTATATTATACGTTTTTTTAGTAGTTCAAATTTAGTAAGACAAAGACAACATAATATGAAGGTACTACATCACTTTAACACTTAATGTAAACTATAAGAATGCAAAAAATGCAAAATTCTTGTTAATCAAATTGATTGTAAAAGTCTAATTAATCCATCAATAATTGAACTGACAGCTGTCTGTGTGAGACTTCAGAGCGGGTACAAAGAATAAGGTAAGTAAATTTGCCCATTTTTGACTTGAAAAAAATGTTCAAAAGAATTTTTAACTATTAAAATTAAAATTAGGTAAGTAGAGATCAGTATAATAGTGATTTTGATGTCTTATTCCTTATACGGAACAGTTGTATGTATGGATCAATCTTTTATTTTATACTTAACTAAACTTATATTTTATAACTTTTAGTTCTGTTATAACAACTATTTGTATTATAACTGTAAAAATGTTTATACATTTTTAATATAGAAGAATAACACCCATTGAATATTAATACTCACAAGAAAAAAAGGATTAAATAGAAGGAAAAATTACAATAATTTACAACTAACAATAACAATCAGGATATATTCAAAGATGTTATCTTTCTCTTCTGGCCACTCAAAATATATGAATACTAAATCAGTAATCGTGTACGTAAATGTTAATTTTTGAACTATTGGTACCTTCTATAATCAATAGATGGGTAATTAAATATGTAGGTACATTTTGCAAAACTAAAACTCAACTACAGTAGGTAAATCATATTATTTATAATATGTATATTGATCTGATAATGTGTTCCTTCGTTTAATTAATTAAGTACTTGTTATTTGCCTTATATTAAGCCAATAAAAGTATAAAATTGCAATGTTATTATTTTATGTGTCCTTGATAAGTTTTTCAAGGAGCATAAGAGAAGAAAAGTTCAAAACTACTTTTACTAGACTATGGCAAAATACAATTAATGTAATTTTTTTACACTCTTTTAACTAAAACATTAACATAATATAATATGGTTTATTAGTTTATTACTCATCAGATAAAGTAGACTATGACAATAATTGTTACTGTAATTTCTAAATATTCAAATTTCTGGGTGGGTAATTTTAATGCGGGCATACTTTTAATAAATAAATAAAACAATTGTTAATAACCTTAATTTACAAATACATATATCGAATAAAAATATATAATTTAATATAGGTAAACCTTAGAATTTCTTAGACACCATCCTACTAATTTAATAAATAATAACTGGTCAAGTAAGTGCTATAATTAATTATCAGAAAAAGTTTATACTTAAATAAAAGTACTTATATATATATATGTAAATATTGTAAACATTTGTTTTACTCAAATAGTACATATTATTTATATTAGTCTTTACTTAGGTACCTGCATATGTTGTTTCTTGCAAAACGTACAACATAGTAAATTTTACATTAACAATAATCCATTTTACTGTTTCTTTTATAAAAATTAGAGTGAATTTGTTCATGATAAAATTTAACGGTAAGATTATTATCTATATTCTATGGCATCTCGAAGCAGTGGAGCCAAAATTTATGTTAACGTCAGGCAGTGGCCCGACCTCTTTTTCAAAAAACGTGGCATATACGTATGCCACATTTTATTTACATTATAATTTTATTATGACATCATGTACCTATATTTAAGCCATGATTATGATTAAATGGATATTAGGGTTTAAGTATTCATTAAATAATTAAGATATTGAGGCCGTAAAGTTTTGTAAAAGTCCCGACCACACTTAAAACACTTCGGGGCCACTGGCTTGGATGATTTTATTGATATTATTTTTAAGAACCAAGTTATAACCTTTTTGAAACTGTTCATTTGAAAATTATCATAACTTATTAAAAAATATAAATAACAATAAAATCCAATTCAATTCACTCTAGTTTTAAAAATAATAGAGTAAAATAGATTACAGTTAATGTAAAATGTACAATGTTGTACTTTTGTAATACAGAGACAACACATGCAGGTGTGATGTCCCCTTAAGTAAAGACTAATATGAATTTGTATCTGAATAAAATATTAATGCCGTCTTCAGATCTAAATATCATATCATTCATATTATCTAACACATCTTATACTATAATATGTCATAATAAAATGTATAATAGAAACATTAACTAGTAATATTAGTAAATGTAATTATTAGGAGGATGTTACACCCGCATGTGTTGTCTCCGTTTCACAAATGTAAAACAACAAATATTTTTATGCGCCTGAAAGAACCAAAAAGGCTACATTAGTAACTAAGAAACAAAATTTTCACCACATAAAAAAGTGAACTTTAGTGGTGAAATATAATTTTTATTTTTTCGGAACTACAAAAAAAGTTATTGAAGTTAGAAAAACACAAAAAAACATAATGTTTCACAAAACAAACTTTTTTCGTATAAGTGATATCTAAAAAATGAAAACAATATTTCACAGATAATATCCTGAAATATATTGTATATCAATTTGGAGTCTTAACTGTAACTACAGCCTGAGTGGTTCTATCCGGCGCAAAGCAGTTTTTGCTATGTTGTATATTTGTAAGGCGGAGACAACACATGCCTGTGTAGCATCTTCTTAAAAGTAGTTATAATGTATCTAAAATAAGTAAAAACAAGTTTGTAAATATATATATAAATCTATGTTCATGATAAGTAAGTTATAAAAATAAAGCTTTCTTTAAAAATGATATGATAAACTACTCTTTATAACAAAACATTGTCATCAATTTTGACTAATTAAGTGTTCTTGGGTAAATCTTAATTAAAATTAATTTAAACTTTGTCTAAATAGTTACCGGAGTTGTATTTTTTATTACACACTTTTCTTAAGTTCGCTTTCACGTCTGTCTGTAATCAAATCTTGCGCGCTCGATTTGAGGCACTTTTTGATGATGAAAAATTCTGAAAATTGGTATATACCTTAGTCTTGGATGACAACGGATTATTGTATTGTCATCCAAGACTAAGGTATATACCAATTTTCAGAATTTTTCATCATCAAAAAGTGCCTCAAATCGAGCGCGCAAGATTTGATTACAGACAGACGTGAAAGCGAACTTAAGAAAAGTGTGTAAAAAACTAAATACTCCCAGTCACTATCTTATAAACATGATTGAACAAAGAAGTGTACACACTTTTAAATTTTTCATCATTAAATTTTTCATTATTTTTTTTTTTTAATTTTTTTTTTATTTTTTTCTGTTAATTTCTATGAGCAGTAATAGCTCAAATTTGGGGTCTTTGATAACTTCACTGTCGGAAGTTCTAACTTCTTCTTCACTACAAAATGCTGGATATTCTGTTGTATTTATACCATTCATCAATAATTTCTCTTCAGTGTCAAGAACTTTTTTTTTGAGTTTTAAATATTTTATTTCCATATCATCACAGGCTATTTTGTTAGTCATTAAAAAATTAATATTTGAAGCCATTGCTCTATTGATTTCATCAATTCTTCTTAACTTTTTTCGCCATTTTTGAGAAATGGGGTCTCTGCACGGTTGTCTTAGTTGTATTATATTTTGTTTTTTCTTCTTGACAGACAAGTTGGGATTTTTATTGGTATTCATTTTACAGGGATAATTAACTGTTTGGTCTAAGTCAATATCAATAATAATCGATTGAGTATGTACATCAATTTGGTTATTATAATAGCATTGATTGATAAATTATATTAACTGTACATATTCCAACATATACCCAATGCAGTTATCCAGCTTTTCCGAATGGTTTGTTTTGTTATGAAACCTTGAAATAAATTAATACATTAATCAAAATTATTTATTAATAACAATATATTATATTTATTTATAATATATAAAATAGTTTGAAAAAGTAATTCTCCTTCAAATTCGACTTATCTTACATGAGCACCAAATTATACATAATACCCAGTTTGGCTTTAAGCCCAGACACTCTATGATACATTAAATCAATGAATTCATTAATACAATTGCGAGTGTTAGAAATAAAGACATTTCTAGATATTGCCAAGCATGCCAAACATTTGACGGAAAATGATTTTCAAATTAAAGAAAATTCATGACATCCCAATTATTCTTAATTCTAAAATAATTCTTAGAAAATATAAAATATACTGTAAAACTCTTCTCTCTTTCCTAACGTATGTACAAATTCATCTCACTTCCACACTTAGTACATTAGGCATTTTCATTAACGTTTTTATTGATTAAAACATTTGATGGTTCATTCATTACTACTTATGATTAAAAAAAAATATTTTGCCATATTGAGAGTGTGACTGCGGGAGAAAATAATATGTAGAATAAATTGTAGTGTCGCGTAAAAAGTGACGTCCTAAACGTCTGAGTCACTTTGAGACCGGATTCCTTAATCCTTACTTTTACGAAATGTCAAGGCCTCAAGGAATTGTTATCGAAAGTCATATTGTCATAAAGACAAAGTGTTAACCAAAAAAAATAGGTTAGACCGTATCGTGTCTATCAGAGATCATAAGCCCGTGTAAAAATCGGCTGGCTGCACACTTCATAGAAGATGGTAATGGCCGGTAGACCGCATACTATATGACAGTAATTATGTCGGAGTATATGTAGGTAATTGGAATTAAATTAAGCTTTAATAATTCATATCTACACAAAGTAGACAAAAAACAGAAATACTTACGAAATTTCAAGATTGCTGATTGAAGATGTGGGTCATGGCGTCATGTTACACTGATCGACATTAGACAGATCATAACGTGGATTTTCGTTATGTTATTTAAAGAATAATGACTCCTGATCACGACTTTAGATAAAATGGTTGCACATCGGGCTATACTAAACAATGTGTGTACGAGAGTTCTTGTCTAACATACTGTGGAGCACGGTGGGTTATTATGAAGGTCGTGAACCAACTCGTTTAATACAACCAACACGATGCGATGTTTGAAAAATAGCAGAATATTTTAAGTTAAGAATTTTAACTGCGCGACTGCACGTGGTTGCTTTCCGGAGGAAAAGGTACTTACGGTTCGCGATATTACGATCTGACGGCGTTTGGAGAGGGGCCGTGTCCCCGGCGACTGTACTAACTCGCGAGTCTCGTTGCTGGGGCAATTAAGGCTGGCGGTAGCTGAGAGTGACCGCGAGTGTTCCTATCGAGCACGAGGAGGCCAAACCAAAAATATCGGACGAGAGTGTAATGTGTATAGAGCTTCGCGGACTACGGGTTTACGCGTTGACGTTGAGAACAAAGAAGAGAGAGCCGCGAGGGGCCCGTGCCGCCGGGACGCCGTCAAGACCGATCGGTAGTACCAACCTATAAACTAGGTTTAATAATGTCACCGACCACTACACTGGAAAGATGGGGGCACATCTTCCAAATTCATAATCTGTGATAGTGGAATTAACCTCAAAATTCTTTATTATCAGGATGTATACGATCAATTGATACCACTGACTAAGTCCGTGATTGATACTATAAATAGGTATACACTATACATTTAAGTTGATATTCGAAAAAAAAGACCTGGAATAAAATCCCCGAAAAATATTATGACTAAATAGAATAAAATCTATTTCGCCATGAATTTTAATTAGACATATTTAATTAGAATATCTGAATATGTATGTACATATTAATATAATAAACCATTAATTCCTATATAGTACCAAATATATACCAAATATTTCGTATGCTTACAACTTCCAGTTCTATTTAGAAGATTGAAAAGGCCTTTTTGGAGTAAGAATGTTTAATTTCTATACAAATATTTATTAATTACGTTTTTGCATCATAAACATTTCTTTAATTGCAACTTATTATTACGATCTTACAGGGCAATTCAGGTGGTCCAATTCATATAAATCACAATTATTATATTTATAATATTATGTTAATATGTTATGTAATAATGACATAAATATAATGTTTATTGTTTAATATCATTAATTATAAATACTAGTATTTTCTTTTTCAATCTATTCAATGTTAATAATGTATAAAAGCCACGTTGGTACAACTGAATAATTTTATTTATTATTTTTTGATGTTGGCAACAATGTTCTTCCAACATGTTATCAATAATATTACATTTTGGAAGAAGTGTTCTACGCCCTACACTGGACTGGAAACGTCTAGGGAGGCGGGTGACGGGGCCCGCTTAGTGTCCGCGAGAGAGGTGTAGAAAGGGGAATAGTACGTGAGCTAATCTAGCCTGGCTTACCACAAACATACTACCTATTCCTTAGGTTGTAGGAATACATTTGGTAAATGGTTTATCATTGAAGTATAGATGGCGCCAGATTAGCTCATGTACGATTCCTCCTCGTACACCTCTCTCGAGGACACTAAGCGGGCCGGGCCCCCGTCACCCGCCTCCCATGACGTTTCCAGTCCAGTGTAGTAGTCAGTAACCTTAATTAAACCTAGTTTATAGGTTGGCACTACCGATCGGTCGGCCGCGCGCTTGACGGCATCCCGGCGGCACGGCATAGATATTAAAGAATGGATAGGCCATGGCTACATTAATAAAATAGAGAGTCGTGTGCCGGAATGGGGAAGAGAGAAAGACTGTTTTTTAATGATTGTATCTCATTCTGGCAGAGGTATTATCATAAATTATAAACAATAATTATATATATATATCTATTTGTGTTAAGACCTTTATAACCTCAATATTTTTTCATGTTCCTTCCCGTATGATAAGCACAAATGGCCTATCCATTCTTTAATATCTATGCGGCACGGGCCCCTCGCGGCTCTCTCTTCTTTGTTCTCAACGGCGGTAAACGTCTCGTTTCCAGTCCAGTGTTGCAGTCCGTGACTTCGATAAACTTAGTTTATACGTTTATGGTACCAACCACCACAGTATAACCGCCGAGGGAGAGTATTCAGTATTGTGGTGAAGTCTTGGCTCGCCACAATACGAAAAAGTGAACTAGTACCACAGCCTGCTGATATATACCATAATATATCTCCCGGCTCGGACACCATACTTGAAGCCAGTCGTCCTATACACTGCCCTATATGGTTGGGCAATGTTTACAAATCGATGTTATCAATCTTCTATCTATTATATTGATAACAGATTGTAAGCATTGCCCAACCTTTGGCTTCTAAAACGCATATTCAATAGAATATAGAGTCGGAATCTAGTTATCTAGTATTGATTAAATATACTTATATGCCTATATTTAATCAATGACAGTAGTATATATTTGTGCTTCCCTATTTAAAAACATTAATCAGTCCGGTCGCGTAGAGAGGACATTTTAGCTGAGTTTTTCACCGCTATTATATTAGACGCCTCAAACAAAACTTTATTCAGATCCATGACCTATCTGTCCCCATTATCCGACTGTCCCGATTAACCGAAGAATTTTACATACAATACATTCATTCGATATCGTCATTAATGTCAACCTTAAGCGGTTGTCCCCTTTAAGTGGTGTAACCATTAAGCGGATTCTACTGTATCGGAAATAATTTACTTATCTCATATTTTGCATGTCAAAGTTATGATGTATAATTTAGTCTTATTAATTCTACAGGTTCTTGAAGTACTATACAATATGTATCTAAATAAAGGGTATAGGTATCTAATATTTGAAAATTGCTATTAAAATATAGAAATAGATTTTAATTTTAAGGCACCCGGTGCTAATGTGATTTTGTTCTCAAAAATACATATTACGGGAATAGTGATTGTCCTGTAAAATCAATCAAATTTGATTATTTTTTTTTAATTGATATAGGAAAATATTCTACAGAGCGCATTAAACTTTGGTTTTCAATATTTTATTCCCGTGAAGTCGGTGTTCGTCGAAACACCCGAAACAGTCAACTAATATTTCGTTATATTATTTTGTTACCTCCTGACATGTACCTGCGAGTGCGAGGGCAAGCCATCTACACTGTCTACTAAACAGTACACACTCACGAGATCGTGCGACACGTAACGATATGTGAATTAGGTTGCTAATAATTTGCTCCTTAATCAAAAAATTACTAATAAAGAAAATCACAATAATGGCACTAAATTTACTAATTTAACTAACTACAATCGCATATTGTAGTTTTGATGTAGGATTGTAACTTATTTACAATGTGAAGGTACCATACATTGTATCTGTCTATAACATAAATAGTTAGGTATCTAAAGTATAAATTAAATGTTATCTGTGTTATAAATAAATATAAAATATAAATTATAATACTATATTGTTTTAATGTTTTAGCTACCAACAAATAATATATATTTTAAACATTTAAATTAAGGGGGCTGCAACGCACGTATTTTTCATACGTTTTAGACCAATAAGCGGTGGTAAATTACACATACTTGGGAATGTCCGATTTAAATTGTTTATACATGTTTGAATTCGTTGATAAAATACCTAGGCTTCTTAGGAAGTTCGATTTTCAATTTTCAATTTAAAACTACCTTAAATTAACCATTTTTTTTTTTTAGAAATAATCCAATGAAATAATTGCATTACATTTGCATTTATTTTGGGCACATCTGATCTTAAATAAAAAAAGTGATTCCTAAGAAGCACAGTCTAGAAGTTTATGAATTCAAGCATTTTTTCGAAATTACAATCGA